CTTTGAAAAATTACAAATTAATATTTCTGGATTTTTCAATGAATCAGAAAAAAGATTTCTAAATTGAAGAAAATAATTCAAAACCTGATGATCAACGAAGAGAAAGAAGAAAAGAATCGACTTACGAAATGCACAGTTTCTGCTTTTTTGACTTCAGTGACTGTTCCACTACCTTTATAAACACCAAAATTTCTTGTGTCACCGATAGTAAATGTATATGGATCTAAGCATAATCTTTCCCTACCTAGACAAAATAACTAATGAAAAAAAGAACACAAACCTAGTACAGTGATTTTGAATTCACGATCATTAATTTCAGTCATTCCTTTCACATCATAAACAGTGACGTATGATCCATCTTCGAAACCATGTTTTGTATATGTCGCTATTGATACAACACCAATTTCATCCTGAACAACAAACTTAAATAAACAAACTTTCTCCATTACTCGGAAACAATCCATACATGACTAATTGAATTGACTATTTCTTCTGTTATTGAATCTTCACCATTTGTATCGAGTACTTTGAAGTTTTGACCAAAATCACAAAATATTTGTCTAACTAATAAAAGAATAAACAATATTTATTTCTTATTTCTCATATTTAAAAAATAGTTTATATACAGTTGTCGTGAATAAAGACGTTCATCGATTTCAGGAGTTGTTGTCGACGTCTGACATTCCAGATCGGTAGCCATTTGATCTGATCTTGAAGTTTGCTATATTACTTGTGAATTATTATTCCCACTTTTTTAAAATATAATCATAATCACCTTCTTACTCTGCTTTTTTTTTGAAGAAGTTGAGAAAAGAAGTATGGAAATGTTTAGATAAATATTCTTTCGATATCTTGCATGAGTCAGATGAAGAAAAAGACAGACCACCAAATGCAATATTTACTTTTGTTGCTTTCTTTTCTTTTACTTTGGTATAGAGGACAGTTATTTTTGGTACGAGTCAAAAAAGAAGGGTGACGTTATTGTTTTTTTTTGTCGTCGTTCTTTTTCATCTCTTTCTTTTATTCATACAACGTCAAAGAGAAAAACACTTTCTAACACACTACCTTCATAAGACCGCCACACTACAAAGAAACAAAATCTGTACGACAGAAAAATCCTTCATCGATATCTCCAGTCATAAGCAGAAGTCTAAAAGACTTAGAGTGAAATTGATCATTTTACTTTTTCATCTTAAGAGAAGTTTCTGGCAGAAATGGGTTTTCTCCAGAGAAAACGGATTATTCTTCAGCAGAAATCCTGCAATCATTTCTTCGCTTCTAAGCAGAAGTCAAAAGGGCTTAAAGAAAAATGGATACAGTGATTTTTTTGTCGGAGATTTTATTGTACGAAAATGACGGTCCTATTTTAGATTATGTGCTCTTTTCATATCATTGATCTCATTGAGATTTTGGTTGTGCGTAGAGCCAAGTGTGATGTAGTTATGTTTTATAATGGGCATAATTCCATTAAATGAAAGACTAATTTTACAGCAGCTTAAATTTATTTATTTATACATAATCATCATATACAGTCGACGTTTCGATATATCTACTATCATTGTCAAGACAGGTGAATTTAGTTTTGAGAGAAAAGGAGGGTGTGAGGATGTGACTGAAAGAACAACACCTACACCCCACACCCGCAATGACTTTTCGTCCGAAAGTTATAAGCTTGCTTCCACCTGCCTTCTTCTAAAATTCCGATGCTATTTAACGTAATTGTGATTCTAAACATGTCTGATGATTCCTAGCAAGGATCAAAACATGTCGTATGACTGCTTGAATTATCTCTCCTCTGTAAACTCATCTTCACCTTCAAACTCACTCTCATTTTCACCATCAGCCATTTTCCAGCATTTTTGGATCAACATCAGTGGCCTTCGAATAGTTCAGATTTAAATCCTCTGAACTATTGTATTTGGGATGAACTTGCTGGGAATATTAACTGGGACCAAATAACATGGACTAGCCGTTTGTTGATAGTTTTTAAGAATGATGAAAATTATTTACGTTAGTAAATAACAATCACTTTTGTAGAAAATTAAATTCTGCATTTTCAAAAACAACAAGAAATTAGGTTGCTGCAATGATTTTTGACTGAGATATTGAAGAAACACATAGAAGGACATTTATTCTGGCATACCCCTTATAATCAAAATGACATTTTACACATTCAGAAAAAAACATAAAATTAATTAAAATCATAAATATTGCAGCTGGCAAGTTCAAGTTTCTTAAAAATGGAATATAGATTCAGGTAATTCCATTCTTTTTGCTATTTCATTTAGTCTTTTTCGATCCAACCTGCTAAGTTCAAGGCTTTTAACTTGTGCCATTTTATCTCTGCTTAATACAGTTCCAGCTTGAGAATCTCTATTTAATGCAGTCACTGCTTCTGGAATTAGTGATCTTGAAATGCCACAAACATCAAAAACTGCGCCAATAGTTTCTTCTGGTTTTGATATTAAATTTTCATATGTTACTTCTGGAAGAGCATAACAATGCCTATTTTTCAGAAACCATGAGTAAGGAGCAGCGAAAATAACAAAAGCCCGTTCCAATAAACTTTCTGGTTTAACTTTTTCAACAGTACTTTTCTCTAGTTCATATCCAAAAAGCCATTTTCCTAATTTAGGAAAATTTGATTGTAAGTAAACAGCTTCTTTCCAAAAGATTGCCGCATCCATCATTTTATATGAAGAAATCGTAGCCTTTTCCACATTTTCACGAAATTGAAATATGTGTGGAATTTCAGGGAAAAGTTTGTGTATGTGACCAACCAACGATACACCAGTCGAGTCCATTTTTAGTATGTAAATCTGATCTTTTGTCATATCTTTGCAATATGTATAAAAAAGTGATCGAAGTACAGTATTGAAGAAGTCCGGAGACCATATGTGTTCATCAGACATCATCGCTAGATTTGTAAAAGGAAGAGGTTCCGCAATGGTTTGAACTTGCTGGCCAACCTGAACCATTTGAGTTATCAGTGTAGAACCACTTCTCGGACAATTGGTAAACACAATTACTTTTCCTTTCATAGGTCCTAGTGAATGGCATGCAAAAGTGCAAAAATCTCTAAATATAATAAATCGCAATGCATGCAAATTTCAAGATGCTTACTTAAATTTAGCGTAAACTTACTTTATTGGCATTCGAGCTAATTTGAGAGCATCACTAAACTGTTCCAACGAAAGAAAAGGTGCATTTCTCACATTATATTCTGCAATTGGTTTTGGTAAGAGTGTAAAGTAGGCATATCGATCAGTAATCGTGTAAAGTACCCAATTTGGGTTATATTTCAGGAGCTTTTCAGCATCATAAAATTTTTCATGCAGCCACATAAAATCGCAATCTCTGGGCAAATCGCCTTCGGTTGACTTTCGACGATACAAAATGGTCAAAATTTCACATTGGATGGTAGTATTATTTTTGGGAGAACGAAACCAATATGATTGAAGATTCGTAATTACATCTCTAATAACACGGTAAATTATATAGAAGATTAGCTTTAATA